CTTTGTTGCAAAGGTTGTTGAGAGTGTGGTTGCACGACAACTGCCTCAGTACCTGGATGAATCGAATTATCTAGATCCGTTCCAGTCGGGATTCAGGCCCGGGTACAGCACAGAGACAGCATTGGTCGCATTGGTTGATGATCTCTGGAGGGCTCGAGACAGGGGTTGCTCCTCAGTCCTTGTCCTATTAGACCTCTCAGCGGCTTTTGATACCATCAATCATGATATCATGCTGCACCGGTTGGAAGGGTTGGGGGTGGGGGGCACTGTTCTACAGTGGTTCTCCTCCTTTCTCTCTGACCGGTCGCAGTCTGTGTTGACAGGGGGGCAGAGGTTGACCCCGAGGCCCCTTATATGTGGGGTGCCACAAGGATCGGTCCTCTCGCCCCTTCTATTCAACATTTATGTGAAGCCGCTGGGTGAGATCATCCGTGGTTTTGGGGTGAAGTACCATCAGTACGCTGATGACACCCAGCTGTACATCTCCGCCCCAGACCACCCTAATGATGCCCTCGAGGTGATGTCCCGGTGCCTGGAGGCCGTACGGATCTGGATGGGGAGGAACAAACTCAGACTCAACCCATCCAAGACCGAGTGGCTGTGGTTTCCATCATCTCGATATAGTCAGTTGGCGCCATCTTTGACTATTGGGGGCGAGTCGTTGGCCCCCACAGATGGGGTTCGCAACTTGGCCATCCTCCTGGACTCACGGCTGTCTTTTGAAGAGCATATGACGGCCGTAGCCAGGAGGACTTTTTATCAGGTCGCCTGATTCGCCAGTTGCATCCCTTTCTGGATCGGGACTCATTACGCACGGTCACTCATGCCCTTGTCACCTCACGCCTGGATTATTGTAATGCTCTCTATATGGGTCTCCCCTTGAGAAGCACCCGAAGGCTCCAACTGGTCCAGAATGCGGCCGCGCGGGTGGTAATGGGAGCAATGTGGCGCTCTCATGTAACCCCCCTCCTGCGCGAGCTGCACTGGCTCCCAGTGGTCTTCCGGGTGCGCTTCAAGGTTTTGGTTACTATCTTTAGAGCGCTCCATGGCTCAGGACCAGGGTACTTACGAGACCGCCTCCTGCCACCAATAGCCTCTCACCGACCAGTTCGCTCCCATAGAGAGGGACTCCTCAGGGTGCCGTCGGCCAAACAATGTCGACTGACGGCCCCCAGGGGGAGAGCCTTTTCTGTGGGGGCACCTACCATCTGGAACGGGCTTCCCCCGGAGTTACGAAACATCCAAGACTTACGCATATTCCGCCGTGCCCTGAAAACATTTCTATTCCAACAAGCTGGTCTGGCCTAACTCTCCCTTTTTAATTGGCTTTTAAACTGGCTTTTAAATTGGGTTTTAAACCTCTTTAGATAAATTTGGATGTTTTTTAATCTTTGAGCCTAAATTACTTAATCTGTTTCTTAATAGTTTTTAACTTCTATATGTATTTGTATTTATTATGGCTGTTCACCGCCCTGAGTCCTTCGGGAGTAGGGCGGTATACAAATATGAAAAATAAATAAATAAAATAAATAAATGTACCAATGTTACTTTAGAGGCAAAGACAAATGTTTCCGTTTTATCTTTGAAAGAAATCCAAAATAGAAAATGCCATACTAGTTCCTTCAGAAGTTCAGAAATGCCATAGCAACCATCATGGTATAGAGTTGCCCTTTACAAATCTAACAAGACAACATGGTACTTTCTGAAAAATCAACAGGAACACATAACTTTAACAGCTTTTAGGAGAAAGGGCAAGTAATGACATATTAACAGAAAAGGTGTAATGGAAAGTGAAAAAAGTAAAGAAGTTTGCCCTCCATGTATTATTATCTGGTGTTTTGACCTTATCGTAAAGAGACCTTTATAGTACAAAAAGGTCTTTAAGAGATCTCAGAAACGCAGACTGTACAGCTGATGCTTCAGCAAATTCTTCCATTTAAAAATCACTCCAGACAAATAATACAAGTAGGTACATGCATTAATCTCTGTTGGAAGACAGTAGTTTGCAAAAAGCTTAAAATGATCAGCCTTAAATGTTAAATATCCTATTTTAGTGTCTGCCATTTTTTAGCCTGCTCAGTGAGCTTAACACCACTGTTATAATTTATATGATTAACCTTGTCGAAGAACACTTTAGAGTGCTCAAGAAGACTCACTCTGGACTATCATTATGTGCAAAAAGGAAAGGTGCTTTATGTCTGAGAGTATTTCAATTAGCTAAACACAGAATTAATGGTACTGTGGAATCATTCCCTGTATATTTGGACAAGTTAGATACAGTTCATTTCCTGTCCTGCTTAAAAATATGTGCAGGCAAATTTTATTAAAAAATCTGAGAAGGGAACAAAAAGACCAGAACACACCCTTTACAGTAGTTAATACCCGGATAAACAAGGATAAACGTCAGACAAACAAGCAGAAAACAATAGTGTGACCAAGGAGAAAATGACACCCCAGAGCAAGTTACTCTATATAAACCAGGGGTCTCCAAACTTGGGAACTTTAAGACTTGTGGACCTTAACTGCCAGAATTCCCCAGCCAGCATGGCATGGCTGGGGAATTCTGGCAGTTGAAGTCCACAAGTCTTAAAGTTCCCAAGTTTGGAGACCCCCGATATAAACAGAGAGCAAATCAGGCACTCACTAGCACTAATGATGTTACCTAGTTGGGTAATGAAATGTCTGGAAATAAACAACAAAGCTCAAACAGCACTAAAGTCTCCAACAATAGAAAGTTTTTTTTTCTTTCCAAACATGTTTGTCGTCAACCTTAAATCTTATTTTAAGTATGGTACTATGAATAGGAGCTATGTAGCCTGGCACATTTTCAGATTCATTTTTATATTCTATGAAGCTTAAATGAGATATACAGAGTTTCAAAATGTACAGCTTCATATAAAACATATGGTGCCATATAATGTTTATCACAGATGGCCCACATGCTTTCCTCATCTTTGAATTTGTAAGAATTTTCAACTGCCATGTGTAAAATGTATATATTTGCATAATATTATTAACTTTTACAATCATTTTACACCATCCTAAAAGATAACAACATTGTCGTTTAAAATACTGTATTTTTTTCCATTGAAAGTAACATTTGAAATTATATGCTATTTTGAGTTTTACATCTGTTTTTGTTGCCCTTTTGCAAATAATTGAAACTAATAATTGTTAACATCTTCTTGCAAAAGAAGCCAAAATGCAATGAAAATACATTCTAGCACATATTTTCAATTCAAGGTGCCCAAAGCAATCACTTTTGTACAGCAAGCTTTTGAATTGTTTTTAAACAAAACAAAATAAGGAGATGGCCATTTATTTGAGTGAAGTGCCAAATGTTCAATTTTCACATTTCTGTATTTTCCAAATATTTTCATTTCTCTAAAGTATAATTGGTTGCCCTTTTAGGAGATAAATTATATTTAATCATTTCAGCTTATAAAGTTCAAGTTTCTTTGCACGCAGTGAATACCCATAATACAAGAATAATGTTACATGGTGTTTGATGAGCAAACATTGAAAAGCAATTGTTAAAGTATGGTTAAAAATCAGGAGCCATACAATCTTACAAACAGATAGAAAATTTATTATTTTTTGGTATCATTTTTTTTTGCTGATATATAAACCCTGATATTATATGCAGAAGTTAAATAATTGGGGGGAAAGCCACTAAAGTTGATTTTCTTCCACTTAAAAAGTTTATAACTACCATCAACATTCCTTCTTAAAGTTAAAGTTGCAGAAACTGAAATTTCTAGTCCCTATGATGTACAAAGATAGTGGAAATATCCCATGGGTTAAGGACCCCTCCTTTGTAATATAGATTGCAAATGTTTACACCAGTCCAAAATATTTGAGTACTGTATATGAGGATGTGATTTCACCATCAGGATTGGTGAGTTTAACATTTTGTAATTCCTGTACTATAGATATCATACTACCATTACCCCAAGTCTTTTTTCTTGGCACACACTCATTTAACCATGTACATTAATTTCCAGTTCAGTCCGTTCTACCTTCTGAATTCTTAATTTGCAGTATCTTTTCGGATTTAATCAGAAGCTAAGATACAATTAAGGATGAAAGAACCACATGTGTTAACCTTTCTTATACCTTCAATTTATAAATATTATCTGTCCTGCTCTTCCTCCAAGATATTGTTAAAATATGAAAAATGCTAACCATGAATTGCTAGCAACAATAAAACTGAAATAAATATCCATGACACCACTAACAGGTAAGGGTAATGGTTTACTATTTGTCTTTTCATATTCCTCCCTATCCGAGTTTTTGTATTTTATTTCTTAACTCAGTTCCTGTGCTGATCAGAAAACAAATTGAGGGAAGAAATTCTAAAAGCACGAGAATGCCCTTTGTTTGAAATATGGAAAAATCAAATAACAATGCAAGGGTAAATAGTGTCAGCACTCTTTGAAGCTGACATTTTTGAGAGCGGCTCAAGCTCTTTAAAATGAAATATTTGATTTCGAAGAATGCAAATGTACACTTTTATTTGCTTTCTAAACATCTGGTTTGTGCCTGCTCTCTTTTCCAGTTGAATTAGGCCATATTCTTTTGATTCCAGTTTTAATTAATCAGCATCTTACCTTTTGTTAAAAGCAATGTAAAAAGGATTTCAATAATCCCATACTATAAAAGTATTATTTAAACCAAAAGAAACTATTTGTACAGGCCACTCATATCCAAAATGAGAACAAGAAGAAACTCCAAAAATTCAAAATTAATTAACTAACAACTGATTTTTCCAAAACATTTTGGCCTATCTTCTCATGCTATAAACTATGTCCTTTTCTAACTGCAAATATGAAATGGTGATTTATTGTAACTAATGTACACGGTAGAACAGTCAAAAGAAATATATATATATTTGATTTATGCTCTTGGAGGGGTAGAAGATCAGCTACCACAGAAAATTCTGAAACTTCACCAATCAGTAACCTTTTTCTTTACTGAAGAAAGAAAAATATAGTACTTACCCAAGAGTTGTCATGGTGACAATAGTATACCAAAATGATGCTGGAATGCTAGTGAACTTGCTGGCTGAAGATCCTTTCTCTGCATAAAACATCACAGTAGCAAAGATAATAATTGCCATCGTGAGTGAAAAGAGAAGAAAACCAAGCTCAGAGGCACAGCTCTTCAGTGTGTACCCCAAGATTCGTAAGCCTTGGGAATGACGGGAGAACTTGAAAATCCTGAATACCCTGAAAACCCTCAGAGTCACAAAAGCTCCACTGACATCCTCATTGCCAGTCATCACCAAACCTATGTAGTAGGGCATAATGGCCACTACATCAATGATACTCATCACACTCCTGACGAACCGGTACCGGCTGGGAGCTGCAAAAAGTCGCATCAGGTATTCAACTGTAAAAATCATAACACAAGCAGTGTCCAAGCAGAAGAAAGCCATTTCATACCTATCCCCACATGGCTGTTCCTTGTTGCCGGATATTGAGCCACATGGTACGGTTTCCACCACATTGGTGATCACAGAAACAGCAATAAAGAAGCCTGTGACATAATAAAAGACTAAGGCTAAGGTGCTAGTATGAGGGTTCTCAAAAGCTCGCCACATGGTCTGCCGGAAGCTCAAGGCTGGCATAGAGTCTTGTTTATTCTCAGAATCCGCATCATCCATCAATCGCTCAGCATTTTCCCGCTTTCTATCCTTGTACTCTTCATAACAGCAGTCTCCGATGATATCAGGCAGGATCCCATAAAAAGCAAGCTCTTCATCATAAGCGGAGATACACTCATACCTTGGATAATGTAGTTTACCAGTTCTATAAAAGTTTAAGATACACCTAAAGACATCAGGATCCCGGTCAAAAAAGTATTCCTTGGTGTCTTCATTAAAGAAGAACTCTTTTTCGGTGCTGCCAAGTAGAGTATCAGGGTATCTCTCCAAGGTAGTCCTCCATGTCTGGAAACGTCGGCCACTCACATTGAGAATGATTAGCTCATCTTGGCGCTTATTTTTTTCTGATGGGGCCAGTGGCATGGGACAGTTGGCCACTGGCATCCAACCTATGGCAGCTGCCCTGGCAAAAGGAAGCCATGCTGCTACACCCGCTGCCATGATGGATCTGGTCTCAGGATGGAGGAAAGCAGTTCTTCAAGACGTCCTTGGCTTCAGTTCAAATCCATCTAAAAATACAATTAAAAAGACAGTGCAAGATAAGTGCCATTTTTTGCCATCTGTGTAATGGTTAAGTGTAATTCTTTCTAGCAACACTTAGTCATAGTGAAGGGGTGGGAGGTAAGAATGCAATAGGGTTTCACAGAGTCTTTGAAATACATGAGACAATGTTTTAGTGTTAACAAATGCACCGCAGGACTTCTTAACAACATCTTCACAAGAACTCCTGGAATCTAAATCTAGAACACAAGAACTCCTGGAATCTTGAATCTAAATAAGATAATCAACTGCCAGAAGCTTGGTGTTCTGGATAAATACTCCAACTTTAACATACAAAAGCATCAAGTATATTAAAATCATGATTTTGGATTAGTTTGTCTCATACCCCCATGCTTATCCATCCACAGGGAGTATAAAGAAAGGAGGCAGGAGGTTCATATTGTAAGAAATACAATAGGTACCTGGATCGTGTAGTTTCAACTTGCTTTCCCTTTTCAAATTTAAACCTTGGTAGTCCAATGAATTATTGTTTAAAAATACACGTGATAATCAGCATAACAAAGTTATATCATTATTATAGGTTAAAATTTTGAATAGTAAATTATTCTTCATTAAACTCAATTTAAAGTGGCACCAACATGTTAATTTAAATTTGCTTCCTCATAAACAAGCTTAAAATAGCTTTCCCCAAGAGTAAAGGCTGAGCCTTAATTGAAAAAACACTGATATTAAGCTAGGCATTACACAACGTGTGTGGAAGAACTATTCTTACTAGAAGGCATACCTATGTATACCGTAGAAATAGGTTGGAGATATCGTTTTATATGTTTTTGTTTGGTTTGGTTCAAATCCACCATAAAGTGTTAAGCATAAATGAAGTGAGAATAATTATAACAGCTTAGCAATTATCCAGCACATTGTTAAACAACTAGGGGAACACCATTGCACAGATTTTTGATTAGGCAATTGACTTTTGCTGGCCATTAAATAGTTTTGGACAGTAGTTGAACAATATTTGTATCAGAGTGCTAAACCATTATAACAGACCAGAGTAACAAACTAATTTCCCAAGAGCTTCGGAATCTCCAGCATTTCTGTAAATAGTCTCTCTGAAAAGGGCACCTGTACCCAAAAACTCACATATCTTCCTTGTAGGTTTCATTTCAAAATACAGGGTTGGATTTGGTTTTCAGAATATACAAATGCGGATAGCTACACAAATGCCAGGTTATGTCCAAACCTCCAATTCTAGAGAATCAATGGGGAAAGAATATTTTAATTCTTACCCCATTTTGAGAGGCCCACTAAGAAAATGCATAGTCTATACCCAATATATGTATAATAATACCTCAATATTCAATTACAGAATCTTAATCTTCCTAAAATGTGAAGTCATCTTTTAAAACTGCAGTCATACTCTTTTTGTAGTTCACCTTTCATTTCCTTTGCATTTTCATTCAAATATACATGGTCTGTTGCTCTATTTTATGAATTTGGATGTCATATTTCCACTTTATGGTCTGTAAAATGATTTGCAATCGATAAGATAGTCTACTGTATTTTTTGGAATATAAGATGCTCCAGACTATAAGATGCACCTACCTTTTTTGGTGAAGAAAACAAGAAAAAGAAATCTGCCTCTGCCTCTGCCTCCCAGCAATTTTGCCTCATTGCAGCAAGTAGCAAACAGCCTGCTTTACTTTCGTTTTTGTTTTCAGCCTAGCTTGATTAGCACAAGAAAAAAAAAATCTGCTCCCAGCAATTTACCTCCTTGCAGCAAGCAGCAGAGCCCTGCGCAATGGCAATCCCTGCAGCCTGAAACAGCTGAAAGTCGGGGACAATCAACTTGTGCTAATTAGGCTGTGCTGAAGCTGAAATGGGCTGTTTCTTCTTGCTGCTTGCTGCAAGGAGGTAAATTGCTGGGAGGCAGAGGCCATAGGGTGGGGGCCAGTGGGTGGGCGGGGCTACATTCGGTGTAAAGATGCACCCAAATTTTCACCCCCTTTTAGGTGGGAAAAAGGTGTGTTTTATATTCCGAAAAATACGGTAATTATTTAAAGACATGAAATATTCATGCAAGTCTTGACAGAACCATTATACTAAAGCGGGGGGTATAGAACTCGGCACTCTGGTTGCTCTTGAGTTGTATGTTCTTAGAAATCTAAATCATATGCAAATAAATAATACAAACTTTATAACATGAATAGTTTTGTGCAAGCCAACAAAATTGACAGTTTTAGCAAAATGGCAGAGCCTCTAGCAAACAGCAAGTCACAAGAATGCTATTAAGTTGTTGACTAATATCTGACCAGTTGCATAGCCAATTTTAATAGCATAATACACAAATTGGATGGAAATATAAAGCTAAAGAGGTGAAGCCATATATTGAAGTGAAGGCTTGAATCTTAATGTTTGGCCTGCAGGATTGCTTTTCTTCAGCTGTTTGAATGAGATGTTCCCAGTTATCCCCAGAAAGGATATATTTCTGCAGTGCTCTCCATCCTCCTCAACACCTGGTTACCTATCTATCAATTATATACTTGACATTTCAAAGCTACCAACAGTTTTCAAAAGCTTCTTTACACATTTCCTATCTACTACATTGATAGATGTTTTGTTACTTACTAAATAACATTCAATGTTCCATGCTCAGGTAATCCTGTTTGGATTATTATAAGGTATTACAAATGGAGCTATTTCTGAAAATACTGCAGCAGTTTCACTAAATACATAATATCTCTGCAAGATCAAGTATGTAGAAACCAGGGCAATATTTTGATAGCTCCACTGGTCTTCAGTTCAATTGCAGATCCGATTTGAAATGTGGGTTTCTTACTTTTAAAGCCTTTCTAGACTTCAGATCTTAGTATCAAAAGAAGTTTTTCATCCTACATGTTCCCAATCAAACCTTGATTTTACTAAAACAATTGTTTTTTATTTTTCCCATGTATGATGTATTTTTATGAAATAAAAGTCACCACTCACTTATGGAATACTCTCCTCAGAGAGCATACTGTAGTGCCTTTATGGTATGAGATTATTATTATTATTATTATTATTATTATTATTATTATTATTATTATTATTATTATTATTATTTTAATTTGATTTATATGCCGCCCTTCTCCGGAGACTCAGGGTGGCTTACATTGTGCTAAGCAATTATTACATTTTCATAACACATTTTTGAGTTTTTTTAAAATAGTATTTTAGTTCTAGGTATTTTTTTTTAATCCCTTTCTGCTTTTCAAATTGTTGCAATGTTTGGGAGTCTCTGTTCCCTAATATAAAATAGTCTTGTGATTTTGCTGCAGTGTTACAGTGGTTATATTCTTGAGATGCAAATATATTCAATTTGAAGATTTGGCTAAAATTTAATGCAGAGCATCAAATCAGTTTTGATATCATTGAATTGAATTAACAATTCAATGGAGTTTGGGATACTTTTTTTACATTTTATGTATTTTTCTAGAAAAATACATATTGAATCTACCTGTTAAATGAGCTGCAGTGGCACAGTGGTTAGAGTGCAGTACTGTAGGCTACTTCTGCTGACTGCCGGCTGCCTACAGTTTGGCAGTTCGAATCCCACCAGGCTCAAGGTTGACTCAGCCTTCCATCCTTCCGAAGTTGGTAAAATGAGGACCCAGATTGTTGGAGGCAATATGCTGACTCTGCAAACCGCTTAGAGAGGGCTGTAAAGCACTTTGAAGTGGTATATACGTCTAAGTGCTATTGCTAAGTGCTTTTGCTAAATGGATGAAGTTGGCTATCCAAACTGAATTGACTTCATTTCTCAAATTAAGTTAACGATTTAAATTAGATCATACCTAATTAGCATGTGTTTACTATATTCAATATTTTGTTTACTCCGGACATTTCAAAACATTTTGATTATTTGTTTTCATAACAATATATAGTCTCTCTTTCCTTATGCATGTAAATGTGATTTGGTCCACTATTTGGTCTATGAGAACCTCATTGTCCATTTAGCTTATTTAACTGATAGTATTTTACTGTCAGATATCTTACATGTATAGAGAGTTCTATAAATTCTATTAGCCTGGCTAGGTGGCTCAGTGGCTAAGACGCTGAGCTTGTCAATCAGAAAGGTCGGCAGTTCGAATTCCTAGTATAGGTCTCCTGCATGAGCAGGATGTTGGACTAGACGGTCTCCAAGGTCCTTTCCAACTTTATTACTGTTATTATTATTAAGTATATTTTGACAGTGAAGGAACTGATGTCAACATCAGTTCATATCTTTGAAATGTTAAATAAGAATAGAAAGTGTCACTTTTGCTAAATCACTGCAAAAACTGTCTTTAAAACAATTATCTGGCAATTAAACAATTCAATGATATATTTTTTAGAAATCAAATCAGCTGAAATGCAGGATGACAAACTAGTGAAGAAAAGCTAAGCCAAGTCCATGATTTATTTATAACTGATATTAGATTTGTGTATCATCTATCTCATCTAAAGATATTTATTAGTTAAATTAAATTTACTTGCTGCCTATCTTGCCATGGGGAAACTCTATTCTATATACCATACAAATGTATGTGTTTATTTTAATACAGTAGACATTTTGAAAATTGAAATATTGGAATAGTTTTGAAATCACATTTGTTAAAAAGAATTTATGTGCTTCCATACACTTCTAGTAAAAGACATCACATTTATTTTCAAATTAACAAGGGAAATGAAAAAGACAATCCAAGGCCTTCATTTATGATCAGGAATAAAAGCAAAAAAGGTGAAAGGTGAAATATAATGTATTATTTCATTTAATATCTTAAAAATCAAGGTATTAAAGCTAAAAGTGATATCAATATTTAAACCACTTGTTAGAATTTTAGAAAGAATCTCAATTCCATGCCCATATTTATTTGCAAGACCCCGCATATACAAGCATAATTTGGTATTTCTTTTAACAATTAAGATAATACAATGACAGCTGATATGTATTCAAATATGAAGAGCTTCTGTTTTTAACCATGAGCTGTCC